TAATAAACGAATTATCACTAAAGTGTATGCATAGGTTTTTTGGTAACACATGGTCTGTTAGTTCGAGAAACAAATCAACATATTAATAAATCATCATGATAACTTACTAGTTGCAATATTTATGATTCAGGTGAAGCAACCGTATACCATCATTGAATGAACTGACTTTGACAGTATATGAATGTAGTAATAAATTTAACCGAAATAGGCACTTAATATTTAGTGAACTTTTTTTGTAAATGTTCATTCTTAATGAGAATTAGAAAACGTTAGATTTAAATGTGATTAATTTTAAAAGTCCATTGAAAGGGTTTATTGTGTTCACTTGTAAATTATTTGTAGTTCTGTATTTTAAAATTAATTTTTTGGTCGTAATAAAAACTAGTGTGTTTAATCAGTCATGTGTGAATATTGTTAACCACCGTAATATGAAACCTGAATTATCTAGACATTATGAATGTAACCATTTTTGACAAGCATTTGAAATATCAGTTTCATGAAGTGTAAATGAACAACCGTACGTCGTCTGACTGACTCAACAAATATCTATCGACTTTAAACGTATAAATATGAATAAGGTCAACTGTTACAATGAACATTTACAATGCTATTATTATTTATTTTCCTCATTATTATTATTACTATTATTATTATTATTATGTCAGTTGACAAGATTCAATTCTCATACTATGTATTTCATTGACACATTGTTTTTGCATTTTCAATTTTCCTATAATGCTCTTCCACTTATTGTGACTGAACACTGTACTGCAAATAATCCAGACCTTTATTGAATGACCTTTCTAATTTGCAAATGTTACAATTTGTAATTTATATATATATATATTTATATATATGTCGTAACAGATGTAAACGTTCACCATTGTTAATACATTACATTGTCAAATTCATTAATGCCATGATATATTTTTGGCCTTTATAAAATATGGAAATTATGGACTTATAACTGTATAGTGTGATTGTACCAGTAATTAATAGTTATATGGGTGTGCAAATGAATACGTTGATATAATCAGTGGTTATGAATAACAATGACGGCTTAGTTGACGATCGGACGTAATTCATACGTACGCTTAGTTCTGGTTTCAGGTACTATTAATATAAAACTGGAATATGAAATTCTTGCATTTTGTATTCATGAAACGGATAATATTCTCATTTCTGTTAACACTTACTATATGACCTTTTAATCGGATTACTAATTTCAATGATGACGGCTTCAACTTGTTTTATAATGTCAGTATCTTATTCATAAGGAAGATATTTTTCTCAATTTTGTTTACTTCTCTATGAGCTTTAATCACATTCATCTTTGTAACTATCTTATTATATTCACTAATAAATTTATTCACCTAACGACAAAATAACGATTTTCACTATTTTAAAATATTCCTATTAAAATGTACTAGTAGTAGATAGTTTACAACTGTGTTACTAAGACATGAACGGTAATCACATTATTTTACATCTAAAATTATTAGATAAGTGTTCATAAAATGACAAAATCTTGTCTGCTTTCTTAACCTTTATATGTATTATACATTAGAAACAAGTTTACGAATACATGAGCGATAATCGCTTATCGATTATTAATATCTAAGGTATATCGAAATGCATTCGACATTAAAAAGTGCTTAATCACTTGACCTTTGCCAAAGACAAAAACAATATTGGGAAAATTGCCTTTAAATCAATTTGTGGGTGGCCCTGAAAAGGGCCTTTAATAGTTCTCGCGGTGAGACGTCCAAACTATTAGTTGGTAATGGCGCCACACATCGGACAGTGTACTGCTCGTACGTTCGGTGATGGGTCATAAGCACAGAATCTGTGAAACATAGCTTCACAAGGACAGAAAACCCAACCCACTTCATCACCAGTTTCATAGGGCGGCTGTGCAAGATTACAGATGTCACACAAACGGTTCTCTTCATCTTCTTCATTTTGGATGTCCCGTTCTGTTAACTCTTCTGAGTTTATAGAAACTACGTCATCCTCGTCGTTACTTAACGTTTCATCCAAATCGACATTTCCTCGATGCATCAATGGCGTTGTAAAGTTAGTCGACATGCTTGTTCCACTGTACAACTGCGGTTCAGCCTGTAAGTTGAACGGCGTTGGTGGTAGTCTACCGTGAAGTTCTTGATAAAACTGGCTTTAAAGTGAACTGCATTGTTCCTCAGACAGTCGCCTGATTAACGCAACCACTCTATTCTTCATGCTCGGCTGGCTCAATTGCATTGGGAAATAATTCTCAACTGCAATACGAATCAGATAGGTATCAGAGTGTAACCACCTATCACAAATTGACTGTAAGTTCACATCAGTCATACTGTGTGTACAGTAAGCCAATATGTGTCGACATGGCAAACCGTTTTCAATGGAAAATGTACAGGAGCAGCGCATGGAATCACGGTGTACATTGTAAGTCCCTGTTGCGTCCACAGCCGTGAATAAGTCAGCAGACATTACAAACTCCGTCAAAGGAGTGCGCAGGTGCCGCTTCAGTACTTGACATGCAGCTGGTGTCAGTCGTTCCTGAAGTCCACGCATTGCTGGCTCTTGGCCGATCTTGGCTTTTACCCGGCAATCTGATGTACATTTCTGTAATCTTGCTTCCATCCAATATCCAACGCGAAGTAGCACACTAAATATAGATCTCAGCACAGGTGTTTTTCGACTCAGTTGATGCATCTTCAAAATTCGGTGACTTGTCTCAATAAAGTTCGTATTATTGAGTTGAAGTAGCGTTGCTGATGGTCGAAAAGCTGTAGACCATTTGTGTTTTCTCGCTAATAAGTGGTCTCTGACATATCGGGCAAACGTTCCGTCCGATATTTCGATCAAGGATAATACATTGTTAAAACTACAAAATAATGTTATGTTGCTTTTGATTTACCTTTCAACCGTTTGAGTAAACATCAGGCGAAAAAATAGTTGTATCACTTCTGATCGTACCCACTACAATTAAGGTTACTGGGTTAATGTTAATGAACGAAACACTTACCCTCTTTATAACATTGCGAACAAGGTGGACGCGACACAAGATATGGTGAGCATTGGGATACACCTGCATGATGGCAGCAGCTATTGCAGGTGAATCATCTGTCACAATGCCTACCACCTGTCGACTGTTGGTTAACCGTTGGAAGAACGACAGGAATCGAGAAATCAAAGTCGATGTTTCGCGACCTATAAATGCAATACAAACGGGTATCGCCTTCAAATTCATATCAAGGGCTACGACCTGATATAAATAGATATTCTCGTTATTCGTCTTGTATGTTCCGTCCAAACCAATAACATCACCGAAACGGTCAGCAAAAATCTTTTGATCACCAGTGCTGAAGAAAAAGTACGATAGACAGTTCTCATCGTCTAATTCGTATTCGCATCGCCCACCCAAAGATGTTATGTGCGCTTTCAATTTCCCGTAATCACCTATCGTTTACATTATAAATTGGCAAATGGCTTACCAGGAATGTTCGCCTGTGAGAACACTTTGTACCGCATATTATAGATATCTTGATCAGTCAGTAGTTTCCCATAAGAATGGTAAGCATAATTCTTAATGTGGAATGAAGCAGTACCAGATATTAGCAGCGGTCGCACATTTTCAAACTGGGCCTCTGTTAACCTGCGCACCCATGAATTTCCTTGGTACCTTAGGGAATTGCACTCGTGATTGTGATGCACATTCACACGTACAACAGTCCAGTAGCCGTCGATAATCTTACAATACATGAAGGCCGGACATTCAGTGTTCATGGAAGCCCTTCATGACAAAAAATGTTAATAACATTTATAAAATTACCTCCTCCGTCTAATCCGCTGTGACGAACCGCTAGATGTTATACGGCGATGTCTCCAGCACACAAATTTAATGTACGAGTTTTCATTTCTGCACAAATGCGAATCTCGAACTACATAATGACAGTAAGTTGATCTTTCATAATTTGTGATAGCGGACTTCAACGCTTCAATCGATGGGAACGCAACGAGAAACAACGTTGTCAAAAAGACTTCCTCCATTTCTGTTACGTGAGAAACAACAGCGCTTGTACTAGACACGTTACTGTCCTCCATAATTGATGATTAAAATGTACTTCGTCGACAAGTACTGATGTTTTATAGCAATCCGACAAAACATAACTAACAAATTAAAAACGAACTTCAAAACTAGCCATTTCATTGGACGAAACGGGATGAAAAATATTGCAATTTTGGGTTGAAAAAAAACATTTTTAAAAAGGGTGGGTGGGGGTTTTTTTAAAAAATTGCCGTGGGGCAAATGAATTTCTGATTTGGAATATGGGATCCAAGCGGAAAGTCATTGTTTCATGTACGCAGCGGATATGCTAGAGCAAATTAACGATGAAGAACCAGGATGACGAAAATTTTTACTTGCCTATCTTATGATGACAGAATGAGACACATTTCTGTTACCTTATCACAGGATTTGAGGTGATTAAATTATGACTTACCGTATGCACGATGATAACGGTAATAATAGATCTCATCTCTACTTTCCATCTAGGACCGATCAATTAAGAAGAAATTCTAAGAAAGTTCAAAAACTAAGATCAAACCTTTTACGTCTTCATTTCCGTCTCTTGCATCGAGTTGTGGACTTCTCCGTCAGAACATGTATTATCAGCACCTTGTCTTCAGTCTTCAGTAATAAGGATAGGAGGTCTATCGACCTATATTAGTCCTTGCAGTTTGTAACACTGTGGAGGTTCAACCTCGTTTTGAATATATTAACAGACGGTGCTGATATTACGTGTTCTGGTAGAGAATTCCAGTAATTCACTACTCGGTGCGAGAAACGGAACTCCAGATGTAAACGGTTTGATCTCGGTTTTTGAAGTTTCTTCGAATGTCCTCTCAAATGATCGGTTCTAGACGGAAGCAAAAGATAAGACATGTTAATATCAAGGTCATCGTTTAGTATACGATAAGCCAATATTAGATCACCCCGTATTCTACGGTAAGATAACGGAAATAAGCTGAGGTGTCTTAGTCTGTCTTCATAAGATAGGCCAGATGAATTCTGAGTGAGGTTGGATTTCATTGGTACTGAAAATTGCAACAATTATTATAAGTCAATTGACTTCCTTACTTCACTTCTGCGGACTGAGAAGCTAACCCATTGGACTATGGGAACCGCGTTATCTTGACACCTACGCTACCAAGACGTTTCTCGTTTCGGGAAAGTTGATTATGTTTTCAGTATAATGAGCACTGCAGAACCGTTCGCAGGGTGGCTTTACAAATGGACAAACCTTATTAAAGGCTATAAAAAACGTTGGTTTTTAGTACAGGATAATTTACTCAGCTACTACCGGTAAATATAATCTGTGATTAATTTGGTTTTTAAGAGAACCGGATGCAGTCGGGCGACATTGTCGTGGGACTTTTGACTTAACAAACGCCCACCTAAGTGTTCAGGAGTCTGGATGCTCCTTTATTTTGACGGAGAGCTCTGGAAGAAAGCATCACTTCAAGGCGTTGTCCGAAGACGATAAGGAGAATTGGATTATTGCCCTTACAGACTTAATTTCAAGATCGCAGGTTACCCATACTGGTTAGTTCGTCAATTCGAGCCTTATAAATTTACGTATTGTTGCATTCCTAACGTTTTTATTCAATGAACTTTGCTAGGTTTTATTGAACCATTGTTTTCTGAAAAAATGGATATCCGGCCACTGTCATAGCAGTAGTAATGGTCCATGACTAAAACTATGTTTACATGCGTGATTTTGTTATATGAGTGATATCTTCCTGCTCATAAATCTAAGGAACGAAAGCTTATCGCGCTTACAACATATTATCTTATATTACCTTGTTATTATTTCCGATGTTGCATAGCTAAGTTAAAACGTATTTACGTCAACACTTTTGAATTTAGGTTAAAAGCAACTAGGAGTTATCAGCCTCTGGGTTTTATTATATTTGTAACAAAGTGTTTGACCTCAGAAATTATGTCCCGCGCGTGTTACATTATCTGTCGGCGACGTGGCTACAAAACCAAATGCCGAATTTGTCTAGAAACTGATTTTTCACTGTCTCGAATGCAAAATTATCTCAAATCTGAATAATTCAGCAGAGAATTCATAGCACTACAATAAAAGTGGTTTATAATTCTATAAAATACTAGAGCCACAATCCATTAACGTGGTATATTTGTTTACATGGAACTTTCACGTTATTTAAGTGAACCTTTACGAGTCTTTTTTAATGAGTTATGCCACATGTCGATAGACTTGTTTACCTGTGCCTTAGTCACTTAAATGATAGGAAGAATGCTAGTATTTACAGTTGCCATATACGTCCAGAGTAATTGAACCTCCGTTTAGTTTTACTTGTGTAAATTAACAGTTTCCTCTTAAAACGCTATAGAATTTATAAATGTTGCAATGAATTAGAAAGTATTATTGTTTTTGGGAGCCTTCATGACCTGCCGAAAATGTGAACAAAGCTCGTTTTTTAGGAGACAGATTTTTCGAGTTTGAATCAATGGCAAACTGTAATTAGAATTCTCTACCTCTAGTAGTGTTCATCTAGGCTTTCCACAATACCATGTCTTATTTAACTCTTTTATCATCATATCTTAAGTAATAAGGGCCCTTAATTTTTCGGCGATGGGATTCTTACCACGAGATCCATTTGTCGACAAAGATTGACAAAATACAGTTTTCTGACTGCATTGAGTAGTATTTCAAAGATGCGTCGTACTCAATTTAAATACAAAACACTGCTTCAAGACTAGTCTACATTGTCATAGGGAGTCACATGCCAAATGCTCTGGCACGTCCGGGGGTGGGTTGAGTCAGCTTTTCCTCTCTAAATGCTCTCACATGGCTACCTGTATAAAGCCACTCAGGGAAGTCCTACTCGCTGCTTTCTCGCGTCGAGGTTGTTGTTTACGAAATTGAGAGGAAGAAAAGCGAAAGTCCGGAGCTTTAACTGCGTTGGTAGATATGGAGGGTTCATCTAGTGAAGTTGATAGTGTGACTCTAAGTCGATGTTGCATATGCGCTCCAGGATCAATTTTTATGTATTTAAATAAATGAATAACTAATCTGCTTACTCTCCCACTGATTACAGTTCAGATCAAGTAAAAGATGAAGTTTATGGAAAGCTCTCCACCTTCCTTCAAAATTTGGTTAGTTGTAGTAATAGTAGAAGGTGATTTTAATGCACAAGTAGGTTGGCTAAACGAAACTGAAAGGCGTGTAGGGTGGGTCTAAATGTGCCGTGGCTCAGCGAACAGTTAATGGCGATCATCTACTGCAACTGTGCTCAGATAGTTGTCTATCTCTAGCAAGCACTAACTTCTAGCATAAGGAAAAACATTGTCTGACGTGGCGAGCTCCATGATCGGCTCAACGATGAACTTAACTAGACCACATTACCATCAGCCATCTTTGGAAAGGCTTGACAAAAAATTACCACCCATTCTGGAGCACGTGCTCAGGCTGATCGCACTCTAATGCAATATGTTTTTCCACGTCTTTCTGGAAGTAAAAAGCCTTGGCAAAAATGCCGTTAAAGTTCAGCTCAACAACGACAAGGTCAAGAATATATTTCAGGAACAACTAGATAAGAAGTTAGTCAACTGTGAAAGTGAAACGATTATTAAAAATCTCGCTGTTAGTGAGACTATCTCGGAAAAAGAAACAGGACTATTATTCACTCTCAGTCCAGGCGATTAGACCGATGGGCAAAACACTTTAGGGAACAGTTCAACTGGTCTTTAGTCACATATCAGTTACCCACTATCTCCAACCTCTCTGAATGGTTAATTGATTTAAGCCCTTCAACTTCTTGTGAGGTCGAAAAGGTCATAGGCAATTTGAACCAAGGGAAGGTAACAAGTCCAGATAGATTAGTTCCGAAAGTCTTTAAGTATGGTGGTCCTGTTTTAGGAGTTAGAGTAACTGAGATCTTAGCTAGAATCTGGGGACTAAACTTAGTCCCATCTAACTGGTCTCAATCGCTGATCTTCCTGGTTTATTGGGAAGGACAAAAGTCCCCTGGTGAAAAACACAGAGTAATCAGTTTGAATAATGAAGAGCAAATCCAAGAAAACTACTCTTGTTTCGGACCTGGACCTTTAACAAAAGATATTCACAGGTTACTGCCTCTACAACTCTTGGATTTGCTTTGATAATTTGTTTTACTATGATAATGTCGTAACTTGAACCAATGCATATGTCAGGTTAACGCTATGTATTACTGATGTAGTATTGTTCTAGATAATTGTGCTATTCATGAATAACAAACAGCCTCCTAATTAATTATAGTATACTAACTAGAGTGCAAACCTTGTTGACAAATATTGGTATTTTAAGACTGGGGCGAAGCATCACTTTATAAAACAATTGACTGTGGTTTGTCTTAGGACGAGTGCCATTTTCCTGTTTTAAGTTTGCTTGAAAATCGTAGTCAGTCATTAGAGACTCAATAACTCTGAGCAACATTTTTATGCTGTTATACGAGACGTACTTGAAAACCATCTCGTTTCCTTACCAACTTCAAACCAAATCACTTTTTTGAATTTGAAGTTTGTTACAACTCCAAGATCATGAAGAATAAAGTTATATATCTTAAGGTGTCTAAATCTTGTTACGTCCATCCTTAGTCTTCACCATATCTAATTATTTGTTTTACTCCAAAAATCCTCTTTTTATTAAAAATTTAGAGATTGAGTCAGATTATTCGTCATTTAACATACTTCGACCAGACAAAGAGAACAGTTGTAAGCGAAATTCTTTCAGATTTACTCTTAAAGGTCGACCAAAGTTGGATATTAAAACAACCAGTTTTCCAGTTCTACCTCAACCGCTTGCTAACCAATCAATATCACCGAATAACTGTCAATGTGCTAACCAATCGTGTTCACACGACGGTTTATGTAATTCAACTTTTAGTCAGAAGTTCCGAAGAATAAAGCTCAAGCACGATTTATCGAAATCCGATTCTAGGTGTGTGTCAGATGCTCCAGTATCAAATTCATTTTCTCTTCCTGTGCATGAACCAAATGTTTCTACCAATGACCTCAAGATAAAAAGTGATACAGGAAGACGTTTGTCCCGTCAATATGTCATTTCAATTGAAGACAGCAACCGTTTAGGAATTATAGAGGCTTTGAAGAGACGCCTACATGATCACATTAGTAACATTTGTTCTCAAGTCAGTAATATCGAGTCAATGCTTACATCAGTCTCAAGTGAATTATCCAGTTTGCTGCTGCAGCCACGTTCATTCCCATTGAATTCAGATGATCAATTTTCTGCCTCAGACCTAGAAAGACGGACTACTTCTCTTAAACTTGCCTTACTCGAACATCGTAACGACGCAAAAGAATTTTACGAGGTTAGTTTCTTCCATGATTGTCGTAATAATTTGTTTTTTTTTCGATAGTGCGTGTTGTGAATATTCATGTAGCTTTTCAATGTCTTTTAAAAACCCTTGCTTATCGTTCTCGTTTGACGTGTGATCCATTCTGCCTAAGTCATAAAACTGCGCTTGTCTTTCGAATTATTGTTTAAACGATGCTGACTAGTCACTGTAAAGCAACTCTTATCATTCTGTTGACTATTTGCTATATGTTAATATTTTACATACATTAATCGTTTGTTTTGTTTAAGGTGTAAAAGATGCAGTTCTGGCAAAATTAAGTATATTTTCACATAGTGTCACTTCCTTGTTTTTGCAGCCGTTTTACTGTTTAAGTTAAAGAATACTATCTTCAACATTTGAAGTTGGGGAAGTATTTATTTATTTGGTAAAATTTATTGCTTACTGAGCTATGAGGTTTGGTAAAGATAGAAGATCACTCACTATAAAATAGGTGTTTTGTGAGCTGACAATGAAAAGTATACCTGCTATATACATCCTGAAGAGAATATAATTGAAGTTGGGAAATTTTTCAAAAACAAGGGAGGTGTGTATACTCCTTACCACCACAATCATATTTGTTAAACTCAACAATCAGCTTTTCATGGAACCCGACTTCGGCATGCAATATCTTTGGTGGTAACGGCTCAAAATGTTTTTGCAAGCTGAGTATTGTGAGATATATTTTGTAGCATGTGTTAAGGAAACGCGTTTGGATATTCCTGTTTGTTAATTATGGTGTCTAAATCAATGAAAACTAAATATTATGAAGGATAACCGGACTGAAAGCGACCACTTTGACTGTTTTATTATTGAAGCCATGAAATTTAGATCATTTTATCATATGGGTCTTACAGACAACTTCATGGACATTTAGTTTAATGGAGATCTGTCAATACAAAAATTGTCAAGTCTACTCTGTCACCATTAGAAAAAAATTAATGCTATATACCTCTTAATTTTTTCTACGAACGCAGTACTTTCACGAACACATATTTTCGTTTTCTACACATACATTTGAAAATATAACTTTATAGTTCTCTCGGTAGGGGTATGTAACATATAGTTCTACTTCACACAATCTGATGTTCTGGTTTTGTCTAGAAAATTTACCCAAACATTACAAAGTGTGTAGATTTGAAACTTACAGCTTTTAAGCCATTGGAATTTACATTTCAGTATTGAAATATGTACCCAAAGAATGTTTATTCAAATTAATGTGATTAAAATCCTTTTGTTTTGTTCTACTCATATAATATCCTTTCTCATGTTTATATTTTTGCGTTCGTGCACTGTTACTTCGCCCTTATTACATCCTTATCTCCATTGAATTGAAGTGAATCCAAGTGTTATTCTGTTTCCTTAAATTTTTCTGACTAAGCAAATATAGTAGAGCATATCAATTCATTGAAATTAATGTAGCCATTGTGAAATAATAAGCATTCATGCTCGGTTGATAAATAGCGATTATTATATAAAGCCTTACGTTCTGAAAAAGGTTTGCAAGTGACATATTTGCTTCTCGACTTAGTGACCTCAAGGTCGACAGTAAAATATGTCAAGTGTGCATAACTCAAGTAAAAAAGAAACACTTTTAGTTCCAGATATTGTAGTGAACAGAACACCCGTGGGGACAATCGAATGTATTTAAAACAAAATTGCGAGACTTGTTAATAAAATCTAACAATCATAAAGTAAATACTTAGTTTGAAAAATGTCCATCAATTGTCTCAAAATGACTCAGACTTCATTGTTCTTGCATTTTCATACAAATCGCATCCTGTTTCCATTCTTTACTGTTCGATCCTCTTGTCTCCCTGCTACCAGACCTTCTGTTCACGACTAACGTCATATACTAATTATGTCAATATAAGTAGCACACACCACAGTATTAGGTAGTTAAACACATGTTGATTATTTTCTGTTACAACGATAATAATAATTTGTTTGATAATACTATTAATAGATTTGAAATCTCATACATGATAACAGTTAGCTGAAGTAAGATAGTCACTATATTATCCTACTTTTTTTCGACGTAGTAGTGTGTAAAGTGGTTTATACCTTTGGCTGGAAAAAGATTGAGTCAGTAATTGAGTTTTTATCTATTCAGAATACAATGAGAATACTTGGACTCGTTAACTGAAAATCCGTAGATTATTTGCCTAGATTAAGTATTTACTGGTGCTTAGAGACTCGTCTACTTCATGATATACTTTACGAATATCAAGTAAAACGACTGAGCTTGTTTAAAGCTTTTAATCAGTTCTGATAGGAGGACCATTTGGCATTTTTAATTCTGTGTTAACTGTGGCCACGTTTGAATATCTAACTAATCAAAATTGTACGGCACTTCGTTTTTACCTATCCTTTAGCTATGAAATGTCTTTGGAGATATAATTTTGTGTAATGCGGCAGTGCGAAGTTTAAGCGAAGTGGATGCACTTTTTATTGGATTGTTTTATGTTGTCTATATCTGTCACTCTATATAAACCTGTTAGACAGAAAGACATATAGTAAACATAATGAGATATTGATGGATTTCTGTTTGTGATAATGTTTATCCATTTTATTGATTGGACATAAATGAACTGACTAACTATATTTAAGATTACACTGATACATTAATTTGCATACACTTACTAGATTATATTGTGCATTATAATTTTAATGAAACAATTTTTATTATTTTATAAAGTTCGTAAGATATGTTACTAGTTAGGCTAGACTACTAAGAATGAAAACATAAAGCATCAAATTTAATTCTTTGAGTGAATTCGTTTCATACAAGAAAATATAAGTGGATTGATTCATGAGGCAATGACCAATTGTTAAACTGTATTTTGTATGTAAACTTAAGTGAATTGGGCAATAGTGTAGAGATTGTTGAACATAAAGAATTATATGCCTGTTTCAAAAATACAAAGATAGTTCATACTATCATGTTTTGCGTGGTGCAAAGACATAACCAATTAAATTGTTGAATTTCTTACCATTTTGTGAAGAAGTACTGCTTTCTTGATCTACTATTTGTTTTGTTTTGGTAAATATTTATTTGGATCTATATATTTCGATTTTTGTCCTTCATCGAAGATAAAATAACTCGTTTATGCTAACCACTAAATACTTACAATGGTTTATACTGGTGTATGGTTCGAAAGCGAGGAATTAAACATAACTTCTGTGCCGTTGTATAATATGTTATTGCGGTCGAAAATAAACACCACTACTATTGATTGTTTAGTCAGTTAATTTTGTTTTAATTAATTAATTATTTATTTGAACATATAAATATTGGTACAATAGAGCGCCAATATAAATGCGCCACACAAAACAATGAGAATTCGGTGAGAAAAAAAGGTAAGGGGCGTAAAAAAAGAGAACAATGACGAAGAGATTGGTGTAAGGTAGTGTGGTAGTAATGAGGGAACGGAAAGGTACAAGGCCCAATCTCACCATTCCTCTTCAACTTTGCCATCGATGACATTCTGGAAACAGCTTTGATGGATGTAAGTAATGGTGGTGTGTATCTGTTGCCTGGAGAAAGACTTCTCGACCTTGAGTATGCGGATGATATTGTCTTACTGTGCGATAATGCCCAAGGCATGCAATCCGCACTTAATCAGTTGACAATCAGTGTCCGTAGGTATGGTATGTGCTTCGCACCTTCGAAGTGCAAAGTACTTCTACAAGACTGGCAGGATTCTAATCCTGTACTCACCCTGGATGGTGAACAGATAGAAGTAGTCGAAAAGTTCGTGTATCTGGGTAGCTGCATAAGTGTTGGTGGGGGTGTGAGTGATGAGATCAATGCACGTATAGTGAAAGCCAGAGCGGCTTATGCCAATCTGGGCCATCTTTGGCGCCTTCGTGATGTTAGTCTGGTTGTAAAAGGCCGGATCTACAACGCGTCGGTGAGAGCAGTTTTGCTCTATGCTTGTGAAACCTGGTCTCTCCGAGTTGATGACGTTAGACGACTCTCTGTGTTCGGTCATCGCTGTCTCCGAAGGATTGCTGACATCCAGCGGCAACACCATGTCAGTAATGCAGAGGTTCGGCATCGTGTGTTCGGGCACAGAGACGATAATGCAATTGGTGTCACCATCTTGAAACACCGACTTCGGTGGCTTGGACATGTTCTACGAATGTCGTCCCAGAGATTTCCACGTCGTGCATTATTTGCCGACTCTGGGACTGGTTGGAAGAAGCGGAGAGGTGGTCAGTGCATGACATGGTGTCGTGGCATGAAAGAAAGCTGCAAAGGACTGGCTTGTGTTGGTCCCTCACGACTCCCTGGTTGAGGTCCGAGAGATGGTGCTACACAGTGGCTAGAGACGTTATCAGACATGGCTCAGAATAGAAGCCAGTGGCGATCCTGCTGTAACCTTCTTTTACTTTCTTCATAAAAGTGGTTGTGTCTCCCTTAACTGAAAGATTTCTTCCGATTGTACCTTTGCGTTCCCTCATTACTACCACACTACCTTACACCAATCTCTTCGTCATTGTTCTCTTTTTTTACGCCCCTTACCTTTTTTTCTCACCGAATTCTCATTGTTTTGTGTGGCGCATTTATATTGGCGCTCTATTGTACCAATATTTATGTGCTCAAATAAATAAATAAAATAAATACACTGTACAACTAAAAGTATTTTCCACTGTGTTCGACATTTTCATCAAATATTTTTTAGCGTTCAACGTTTTATGCACTTCAAGTGATTTCCCTTTCAGTAAAATCTAGTTGGCGACTGATCTAGACGGGAATCCAGCGATCATAATCAAATCTTTTTTGAGTGTTCAGTTACTGCTAACGTGTTTTTGACAATCTAATTATTGGTTTAGATTTCTTATATCTACTTATCAAGAGGTTTTTTTGAAATTATTGTTCAATTGAATCATAAGTTCATCTAAACACATGTCTGTAATTTCTCTCTGCTTCGTAGGCGTCTACTGAAGCGTTGCAGTTCTTAACTGGAACTTATGCTCGATTCAATCGACAACTTGTTTTAGAACAAGAACGTTGTATAACGTTGGAGAGGACCGTTGAACAGTTGGCTAAAGAATTACGTAGTTTGGAAATCCAGTTAAAATATCATATTCCTATGGTTGTTGAAGACAAAAATATGAATCAAATTCAGTCTGAAGGTACTAATTTTTTCACATTATTTGGACTTGTTAACCTCATTTCTTGTTATTTCGCTGAAGTTTACTATAATGCAGTAGCAGCCGAACAGTCTATACATTTGACCTTCAGTTATTTGTGTTGATTTTGAACCTCAATCTTACTTTATGGTTTTGGATAGTTGGATAGCACAACTAACTGTCAAACTTTGCGTGTTTTTATATATGGAACTCTTTCTTGTAAATCGTCCAATCTATAGATGTTCACCAGACTCGTGTTTTACAAGAGGTCAAAGGTATTCTGTTTAGTTTGTTGACTACATGTACTTTAATATAATTCACTAATTACACGCTTATGTAATCTGCTTTAAGCCACATTTGTATGAGATTCAGTGTACTATTTGGTTGCCAAAACTGAGGTAAATAGAGGGAGTTCAGACCTAAAACTTGAAGGTTGAAAGAGCTGATGTTTTTACCTTTTGATGAGCAACGTTAAGTATAGGACCTAGGTAAATCAAGGTCACTTCTGTTATGATTACTTTCTATTGTCCGCTTTTCCTCTGTTTATTTGGATCTGCCTGATAGAGTAACATTTCAAAATAGACCATTTTACATAGTAATTATGTTGATAATTGGATGTAATATGCATATCTTTCCAAGTGGTATAGTGTATACACATATTCATTAGATGTTTACGTTTTACGTGAAAGATGTATTACTTTTTAGTTTGTACAATAGATTCTATTTTCACAATACTTTATTTTAAGCAATATAGTCAATTGACTCCTTTTAATCAGTCTTAATACATATGTTTTACCTCCTATCTTAATATATATCCCTCTGCAAAAATGTATTTTTTAACTTTGCTAACATTGTTAAACATGAGCTCCAATCGAATTCAATTCCGAGTTTGTTTTCTTCCTCCTTTGAGATACAAAAATGTGATCTTCATATAAATAACATACCAAGTTAAATTATGTAAGAGTATAACAACATGTGATATCAATGCAAAAGTTCATGTATAACCGTGAATGTGAATCTGTTTACAACTGTTATGTTGATATCTTGTTGTATTAAGGCTAGTGACTAACAGTATCATTTAAAATCTATATTTTCTATCGTGTAAGAGGTTCATGAATACCTATGATGTTCCTCTTAGCACTCGAACGTAGTACTTATTATTTCAAACGCTGAAGAGTGTATCCATCAGACCACTGAATCGTGATGTCTAACTAGTCTGTTCTTCCAATACGTTATTTTATTATTTGTAAGAATTTTCCATTGTTCTGTTGTTCGTATTCATGATTAAATTGACATGTTCTAGATTTCACTATTCACCATTCAAAATGTTAATATGTAAAAGTCAGAGTATAATCCTTTTAAAGAATTCCTACACCAAAGTAGAGTGTTCGGTTCTTGTCCTGAATATCAGCTAAAGAAAAGTTTCAACTCTTATAAATTAAAAAAGGTCTCTTTTTAGTTTTTGCTCTTTGTTGGTGTAAATATTTTTTCTTTCATTCGCACAAATTATTTTCGATTTCTGTCTTTCTATATATAGAATATGGTGACCTGAACAATATCACAATATATCGAGTCTTATGTTGTTCTTATCTTAATCTCCTATGTATTCCAGTCCCGACCGTTGTTGCTACCTTGACGTGGTGGTCGGGCTTGCCTATCGTGATGAAGCAACCGAGCTATACTGGCTCGAACAACCGTTCCTCAAGATCCTACCATGTCAGACAGGTCGGTTGAAGAGCGGTAAGACTAAAAGCAACAAACCCAAGGTCCGAAGACGAAGTCGTACTGCTGACTGTACAGAGGTGTGACAGCAGTAAGGTGTTTCCTTCAGACAACCAGCATGATGGCGATGCTGCCTTCCCACAAGGAGGGGTGGGGTTGGAAAAGGTCGACCCTAAAAATGCACACCTCGCCTTATCCCACGGATATCCGTCTCCGGTGGTAAGGTCTCAACAAATACGGAGCTAACACGAAAATTACCCATAAAAAGGTCGTGTGTAACCGACCTCAAGCAGTTGTCCCTCGGGCACTGCGGTCACGCTCCCAGGTCACTAAGACCACCTCTAATCCAATTTCCTTTTCAGGTACCTCCAGAACAACCCTTCCACGCTGTGGGAAACCGGGAAATGATAACTGCCCTCATACCTCTAACAGCACTCACGACCACTGACTGACTGACTGATGTATTCCAGTGTATCGGGCAATAAGATTTATCCTGCTTTATTCAGCTGTATATATCACTTTAGTTGACCGTTTTGTGTTATGTCAGAACATTTACTCAAAGTTGTGTGTATTTACATAAATAACCAGTTATGTCTTTTTCCAGTGTTAACGACTGACTTACTAATTGTGATGTCTTGAACACGTTCCGTGAAAAATTGTTGTTCTAGTTTCGTTTTAAACAATCAGTGAGGGAACGCTTTTTTAGAGACTCGTAATTTACTTGTTTTACAAATGAGAACTAAAAGTTTGTTGTATCCGAATTTTAAAGACTTTAGTCATTCCAATCAAGTCGGTATATTTGAATGATTTGAATAATTCATTTTCATTTACTGGGTCACAAGTTCGAATTTCGTCCCATCTACTTTTTCGTATGAACTGTTTGGTTGTGTAATTTCTAATCCTCATGCAATAGGTAATTAACTCAAAATGGAATGCACAAACTTTTATTAAGTTGCAATTTCATTCATATTTGCATTACTTTTACTAATACCATATTAGTATGCTTACTACTCGTAGTAATTAATTGGTTCAAGGTTATATAAGAAAATAACATCAAAATTAAGAAAAGATTCTAAAGCTAAAGAAGAATATAAGAAAATGCGCGAAAATTGGTTTAAGAATGATAAATAGATCATTTCAAGCATGATATCAGGTATCGATTGGTGAGCGATGTTGGTTTTGACTTACGTCGACTATTGTTCTCAAACGTTAGTTTCTACTATATTTGGGATTTAAACAGTAATGGTTTCTTCAAGTGCTTCACGTATGACCCGGGGTATCGAAAATTTCCGCTGCATATCAGGATCCTCGCATAACATGTTACGAGAAAGACCTGCTCGCTATTTTCGAATGGTGGAAGTCTACTCACAAAAGTAAATGGGTGTTATTATATAAACATCTCATCTAGCAAACATAAACTGTTAACTTACAGGTTGGGACCAGTGATTCTAAGATTCTAGAGTAACAGATAGTTTTACTTGTTAAAGTGAGTATGAAATACTAGATACTACTTAATTGTCTAGTAAATTATACTCTTAGATTAAATATTTTGAAAGGTATCTGCTAAGAAGAACGCCACTTTTCATTTAAGTGCCTGGTGTGTATCACAAACCTCACATTGACAATGATAATCCGAAGTGAAGAATACTCATAATCTGGCATTTTAATCATTACCATTTTGAACAAGGTCATTCCTATATATATCGTATATCTTTCCATTTTTATTACCACTCTTTCTCACCTCATATCCAATCTTTGTTCTAACTGCCTTGTCATTTCTGTTACTTATCAAGTCCAAATCGTCGTGGTTGATCAAATTGTTTCTTTACAGACTCGACTTTTGATATAGTTATTTAGAAACAATATAATTTGTCTAAACTTTAATTCCTCAACTTTCTAACCCTAATACAGATGTGGTAACACATAGGTTTGGTTAAAACTGATAGGTATCTCATAGACCCATAATTGATATTCAAGTAAACTATTGAGAATTTATTATCCATTTATGAATTCCAAATTCTATTCTATTGCATCAGTCTTGGCATGTCGCGTAATCGGCGTGCTACATTAAATTAGTGCATCACTATTCACTTATATGCTTATTAATAATCAATTATGTTGTTCTAAATTGGGTTCGTTATTATTGATGAGTAAAGGGAAAATATTTTGATCGGCAGAAGAATATATAAATTTTGCAGATCTCGTTCGACTGCTTAAGGTGATTGTGACCGAGTGATCAGTGCTCGCAAGTATGAATTATTAATGCAATGCCCACTATGAACAGATATCAAAAAGGTTGTACTCCTTGTCAACAAAATATGAGTTGTTTTATACGACAAAAAGCGCACTGCAGTTGATCAGTCTGTTATTGACATATGTGCATACTGTGCATATGCATTTAGTTTAAAACGTAACTATTTGAGCTCCCAAGCTTTCAATGGTAGTCTAACTAAATTTAGTTCGTGATATGGAGTCTATGAAAATTCTGTGGTCTTCACAAAACTTTACACTGGTTGTAAGATACTTATTTTGTAAGTCATAAGCCAACCTGATAAAATTAACTGATTTTCGGATTTGATTCTTACCTGCCCTACCAAAAACTAGATCTTATAGTGATATTTATATACGATCCAACAAATTGTAGTTGGGATGTAGCCAAGAATGAGTTATTCTGTCAGTTGAGTAGTGTTTTAAACAAAACACTGTCAAAGGATTTCATGGTTCTGTGTGGTTCTTAAATGTGCAAACTGTGTGCGTGGACGAAATACAAATTTTCTCTAGGGTGACTGATAATATCTTGAAGGTCACGCTTCATGCAATAAAAACAAACTTGTGAAGCTTCTTGTAGATCACAGCCTATTTTTGTCCACTACAAACAAGTAGGGCCATCTATGCTAGCTGATGTTCTTTTATTGCGACATGACGCTCCAAGATAATCAGTTAGCATTAACTCACACGTATTGTACCTAAAACAAGTAAATCATACAATTGTATTAAGAAAAATGAAGCATCCTCTATTGGTATTGAGAAACTAAAGGCCAAGACCATGGTAAAAATGGAGGTTAGATAAGTTTCTTTTATGTACACAATTCAGCCTTGTTTGTATTTATTTGTTATCAGACTGACTAAAATGGCGATTAGAGTTACTGTCATTATCACCTAATATACTATATATATATATATATATATATGTATGTTTATTTTTTCTAAGTGTATGGACTGTTTAAATGATATGAAAACTCCTTAGACTCACAATTGTAATGTAAACCGTTTTAGATGAT